GCCGCTTGTCGTTCCCTCATAAATTTATGCGTGAAATTGTCGTTCCGTTAGTTTACGAAATGTTTTTACTTTCTGTACTGTCTTTTACCGTAAATTTTAGTTCATAATTTTTCTTTTCGATTTATTTTATTTGATTTTTTTTTTAAGTCCATTTTATGTCCGTCAGTTCTTTGCTTTCACGTTCATTTCGTCCGGCTGTTTTTCTTTTCAGAAGGCGGCCTAATTTTCATCAGTCTCCACCGTCGCCTGGACGTCCAAGACCTCAAACAGGGTCTATAACCTCGTATTATTGCTTGCGCGAGGGTACAATCAAGCTGAGCCCTGTCTTTCGACTGGTCAGGACTTCTGGGACTCTCTGCCTACCAAGTTTACTACGTCCTCCGTCTTTACATAAACCCGGATTTGCGTAAGTCCCGAAATATTTGTCGTGTATAAACTTTAGATAAGAAACTGGTGTGTCCTTCCGGTCTCATCTCTCTCGGCGTCTTGGTCCTCACTCCACTACGGTGAGAGAATCACTCACTCCTGAGCTCGTCGTCGCAAGACTTTAGTCCTGAGGTCGAAGATTATCTAAAAAACCACTTGGACACTTCTGTGGTAATGTCATCAACTCAGATGACTTCTATTTTTCGGTACCTGTCTCAAAGGTTTAGGACGTTCGATGTAATCAGGAAAATTAGGTTCTATCAAGAATCCACTATCATTCGACTAATCATTTGACAAAATTACCTGACAACTTTGAGTCCAGTCTCAGGTACTGCGTTGTGGATCTAAGACCGAGATAGTGAACAAACTGTAACGTTGCTTCCGGGCCCAAGCCCGATTTGAAATATCAGGCGGACCGAGGTTTTGGGGAATAGTCCAAATAGAACAAATTAACCTCTTTCAAGACTGTGTAGGTCAGTAACTAACAAGTTCCGTCGAATCGACGTCACAACTTAACCTTCGTATTTTTCGAGGACCCCTTTACCAATGCATTTAAACACCACAGTAGGCGTATCGATGACCACTTGAATATAACAACAAGAGGTATAGCTCGGTCACCATCGTCATCCTGCAATTTCTCTTTCGGGGTTCTAATGTTTATAAGTGTGGTGCGTCTTTTGTGTCTTTATAGGTACTTTTTTGTATGTAACCGGATATTGTTATTTCCCTATTCCTCCCTTCCGGGGTAATGTTCTTTATATATAATTTATTTTTTGTTTAGGGTGGGTGGTGTCCATGATTTGGTTCTCTTCTCCCTTAGAGGAGGGTGTTTTACACTTACGGTGTACACCTCTTACGTAAGTCCGCCGACTAATCGGCTAGAACGCGTAGGTGCTTAAAACGTCGACGTGACCGTGGTGGGACAGTCACTCTTTTCGGTTTCCGTCGATTTGTATTGTAGTCCCTCCTCGATAAAGGGAGGTCGGTATTGAGTAAGTTGGGCGCTCGTCCTCTCGGGTGGAGGCTTCTGCACTGGACCGCACTCCCTCGGTGCTGAGCCCGTCCAAAGGTCCTTCAAGACGGAAGAAGAGGGGGGCTCGCGCTTCTCCTTCGTGACGTCCGAACCTTTGTGAATGACAAGGACTTTACTAGCTTAGCACCCCGTAGTTCGCTGGCTTCCGTTAACACCGTTCGTACCGTAACAGACTTCTCGTTGTCTCCCTGTTAGTCACCGGTGGTGCGTCGCTTGGTTTGGGTTTGACCGTACAAGTCCTTTCCTTCCACCTGAGCGTCCGTTGAAACCTCGACAGGGCTCAGTTTCGCACACTGACGACAATACGGTCCCACGATCCCGGTTGTTCATGTCGTGAACTACCACAAAACGACTGTCCTGTACTTACTTACACCCACCGCAGTCCGTAAGTGGTGACGTTGGGTCTACCCGTCAGGGTAAACTCACGTCCTAACAACCCCCCGGGTAGAGGTCTACCAGACCATCCCACAGGCGACACGACCTCCATTTCCAGGGATGCCTCGCGTCCCTTTCTGTTAATCCTCGTACGTTAGGTTCCCCGAAGCACGTCATTCCTTTCCTCTTTTGGTAAGTCGGACGCCTCCTTGTACGGAATGACGTGGTTCACGTTCCACTCCGAAGGTGGGAGTGACCCGTTTTTCTTCTTTTTATTTTTTTTTAACACTTACGCAAAATTAAATGTAAATGGGCGAACGTTCAACACTACAATCCACAATCCAAGGACAGTCGAGCAGCAACCCTTCTTATATTTTATAATATTACCTTCAGTGGGGCAGTGATAATCTCGTTACATTTCTGTATGTCCTGTATCCGGATTTTTGTTTTTGTAGATTTCTTTTTAGGAACCCGTGAACTATTCAGAGCCTTGTAAAAGTGATAAAACTGGGTAAAATATTTCTAGTTTTACTTGATTTCTTATTTACCATCTCATTAGGTATAACTTTTTCCACAGTCGTACGATCGTGTTCATATAATATCAATATAAAGATTAATTACGATTCTATGTCTATGAATCACATTCTAACATTAGTTTAAACCCTTTTAATTAACACAACGTCGGTTCGGTATTGTTACTTTTTGTTTTGTCTAATTATTGGTTATTATTCATACCTCCCTACCCTTACTTATACTTATATTCCATTTTACATGTACACTAAAATAGGTTCCCTTCTCGGACTACCCGTACTCCAAGAGACCCGTCGGTATTCCACTAACAATAAGTCAGTTTTAAGTTTTGCCTAAGGGGACTGATTTGTTCGAAATCAATGTACCACTATTGCATACGGAGCACATGATTAATCTGATAGTTACCTTTCGGGTTTTGTGTCCAAAATTATCCTAATATTATGAATGAATACACGCCAGAAAACGCGTCGCGGTAGAGATTTTTTGCGCCTATGCAGTCGCTGGGTAAGGGTACCTGTAAGTGCGCACTTGTACCTGTTTTTACTTGCAGTCGATGGGGAGTACCCGGTGCTTAGGTCTGAGGGAACCTTTTTGTAAACGGCCCTTTGCTATTTGGTGTCGTGCAAAGTCGCTTCTGGACACCGGACGTTGGGCCTCGTTTCGTTGTTTGGTCCGCTCGATTGATTCATAGCGATCGAAAATCCGGTTGCATCGGATTGCTTTTGGCTTGACGGCTTCATTTTTAACTTTTCTGCCAATTAATAATAGTTATTAATTTTGCTCGTGCTACAATTTTACTGTTAAACGTTTTTCGTATAAGATCGTACCAGTCTATATTACTGGTAATTGACACAGCCAGGACTTCTAGTTAAATTCATTGTGGCTAAAATGAAAAGCTTTGTTAAAATATGCAAGTGCGCGAAAGTCAAAGTCAGCTTTAGTGTCAAAAATTTTACATGTGTTATACATCCAGAAATATCGAAATATCGTTTCCCACAGTGTGACATGTATACATAAAACAAAAACAAAAAGGGCCTAGATAAACATGGTATACATTAAACAAAACAAAAAGGGCCTAGATAACCGGGGTATACACTTTAAAATGTTAATATATTTAAAGTGTTCAAAGTGCAGTTTCAGTGAAATCAGTTGAAATCATAGACGATCTTAAGTTGGCGTGACGTTGAAGTCGTGTGACCCTGCTGCTGTACTGGCTTGTAGTTCGTCTAGAGCATAACGTTAGCATTTTGCTTCTGGCGACTAGATTTATGATTCAAAAATTATAAAAGTAGGGTTGACATGTGGAGATTATCCGGCTGAACAAAACGTGACCCCTCTCTTAAATGTGTGTCAACCACAGACCTTATTTCGAGCTATTTTCCAAAATCCTATGGAGAAATTGCATTGGTTTTTGACGAAGGAACCGGAAGAAGTTTACTTCCGGGTTTTTTCCGGGTGCTGCTTGTTAAATGTGTGCGTTATCTCACTGCTGGAGAAGAGCTTCAAAATATAAAATCTCAAACCTGTTAGAAATCCAATCCTTTACACTACTGTTACTGAGTTTTAGAGTAACAAAACCTTTAATAGCAACACCATTTTTGACCGCTAATAAACATTTATATCTGGCTATTGAGGGCTCTGAAGTTAAGTTTACTTCCTGTGCCAAATACATCAATCAAAGTAAATCAAATATTATTTAATTAGCCCAATATCACAAATTGTACTATAGTCTCAGGGGAATCTACAGTTTATACAGAACATGAATACGCCGGAAATTCCCGGTGCTGTAAGCTTTTCAAATATGTAGTGAAGCGAGAAGAGTCACTGTGTTTCTCCCTTCATTGTGTACACAAAGCTTCCAAATAAAAGGGGGACTGGTCAGTGGAAGTGGAAGAAAATATATATATATGTTTTCCATATTCATTTATTTGTTCTTCTGTTTATGTATTCGTGTATTTGTTGCCACATTTATTTCGTTTTTTTTCACATGTATTTATTCTTGTATTTTTTATTCCAGTATTTATGTATTTAGGTTTATGCATTGGTTTTTCACGCAGGTGCTCGAGGATCAACACCCAAGGGAGGGACATATTTTGACTTCTGCCCTGCTGATGATAAATCTGGAGAAATGGTCCCCAACACTTTTTCTAACAAAGTGACGACCCATGTGATAATAATCTATTAGGGATGAAGGTTGATTCAATTCATATTATAATGCTGTATCACCTCCCAGATGTCATGTACATTCAAACCAAAGAGTTAACTCAAATCCTACTTCGATTGTATGTTCCTTTCCAGTTGCCGTAGATAAACAGATGAGTAGGTAAGTTACCCAGAAAGAGTAGAAAGTACGAGCGATTCCGGAAATTGGACTCTATTTTCAAAATAATGACAATGATATGATAATTTTAATTATAAAGAAGACTGAAGAAATGACAAACACTTCATCAAACACATTTAAAATATAGCATTTAAAATACACAACTGGCTCATTCGATGTAGTACAAGAGAAACAAATTAAATTAACATTGCTGATGAAGTTGAAGATGATTAAGACTATTATTATGAAATGTATACGGAAGGCAGTGTTTCAATAAGGTGATTAACTTGATAGGCTATATATGCATCATACACAGTCGAATAAATTAAGGAACTACACCACTTTCTTAACTATCTTTCTCTTGCCTTAACAAAGCGAGCATATCTCATTAGTTTAACGTTATAATGCCAAATACTTATCATAACATAAAGAGGAAAACGTGACGGTGCTACCTTTTCAACCGACATTCGCGCGTCTCTCTGCTCTTCTGTTATGGGACTTTGCCAAAGAAAACGTGTGTTTTGTGATTATGAATGTTCAGTTCTTTGTCAGTCATTCTGTAATTAGAAAACCAAAAGCAAGCTATGACTGCTATCTACTGTAAATGTTCCTCTGGTCACACTTAAATGACCATGCCGAACCGAACAACGTCCCTGCCGCTCACAGCGACTCTGCTGGCGGCGCTGTGGCTGAGTTTGGGTCGGTGCGGTGTCTCCGGACCTCCAGGATGTGACAATGGAAAGGTAACTTACACTTCAATAAAGTAAGGTTTGGTGTGTGTCACTCAGTGGGTTCAGGCCTAAAAATGCTCTCAAATAATGTTGGCTGATCTGTATATTTGATTTAGATCATAGAACAGAACATCTTTTTTAATTTTGTTTTATGTTTATCTCTATTATTTATCTATCGGTATTGTCTGTCTGTCTGTCTGTCTGTCTGTCTGTCTGTCAATCTATGTGTTGACTTTTGATTGTGTGTTTGGTTTGTTACTGTAAGTTGTAAGCAGCTGTAAATTACCGCATCTTTTTAGTAAGAGGCAGGTAAAAAAAATACTTTCTTCTCCCTGCTCCTTTCCACCATGGGCTACAAAAAAACTGCCGCCCTAAAGTCTTCATGTTTTGTTTTATAATAATAAATGAGTGGAATAAAAACAAAAACACATTTTGTGTCTGTGTGACAGCTGTCTTTGGGAATGGACCTGCCTGGGGATGCTGTGTATTGGGATTGTCCAGCAACTATTTGGCCAGAGTCTCCGCAGGTAAATGGATCCAACAGATATCATCATCATCTGTTGTAGGGTTTCTTCAGAGGTGATGGGTTAAAAAATCATGGGAAAGTACCAGTACTAGTATTGTTCTGGTTAATCCTCTCTGTACTTAAACCTAGTTTGCACGCTCAGTTCCTGCATTAGTGGTTTAACCTGTGTCTCTCTTGTCTACAGAGACTTCCCAGTATTGACAGAGTGTATAATCCTGAGGTGAGTAAACACTTTACAAAGCATATTATTTGAGTTTACCGTAACCTTTGAACCTCCAACACTAGATTTATAACTGTTTCCTAAAATCAAAGCACGACATGGATGTGTCACAACACTCAGTGACACATCCAGATTCAAAGTAATGCATTACTACTAAAAATGTACCAAAAAGTGTTTGGTGATTTATTGAAATGTGTTAGTTATGTGCGTCAGTTTGAGTTAACTAAAGTGTCAATAACAAATGGGGGCAAACTAACTCAGTGTTGGTCTTTGAAAAGGTGTTTATAGTATACACAGGAGATGGAGTGATAGCATTGAATTTGACCTGGTTTCTTTTCACCGCAGCCAGCCATGGAGATCTGCATAGATAAACCTATTTCCTACAACCATACCTTTCCCAACAGGTAAAGACATACTGTATAATACAAATGCTCTGAAAGGTGGTGAGTGGACACATGCTCACATCATAACATTTTCAAAAACCAAAAACTTACAACAGTGTAATTATTGCCCTTATCTACTCTCTGTTTCTGTTCTTTTTAATACTGCAATCAAGTTATAATGTTCATATATACAAGGGGTACTGACGATGTTAAAATGTGTGTTCGTATCTGTGTGTGTGATATAGTGGAGCGTACAGACCAGTAAGGGCAGAGAGCGGAGAGTACTTGTACTGTCCTCCTCAACGTTGGCTCAATAACTTGCACGTAAGGTTCAACATCAAACATGTCTCCACTCTCACAACAATTAAATCACTGTATCTGCTAAGCACTGTGAAATGACAAGACATACAGGAGACTTAATAGAACAATAGTAGTTAGTCCATTTCAAGGGAGTGCATTTTTGGATGTTACTATACATATAATTCCTTTTTTATTTTCTATTGGATGCTATAGCTATAAGAAACTGGGTTGGAGGCATAACGTTTTTATAGACAGCCAAATACAGTGTTAACAATTTCCCTTAGGAATATTTGTCAGATGAAAATCCTTATTTATATAAAAGGAGAATATATAATATTGAGATTATTGTAAGCACTTCCTTTTAGTTATTGTCATAATAGTGTCATAACTTTTAGTGTGAATGTAGTCACTTTGTTTGTGTTTATTTTCCCAGCATGGAGCCACTGTTTTGCTCTATCACCCCTGTTCTCCTCTCCGCGAGCGTTTACTTCTGTCTGTCCTGGCCCGCTCCTGTCTGCCAGACTACATCATGACCTCACATCCACAGCTCAATAAACACAGGGTGAGACAATAACCCTTTATCTCTGCTCTGTTACCCAACAAAGGCAGTAAGGGACAGTAAAACGTCAATATTTATTTACTTTTCAGGCTTTATATTTTCTGTTCACTTGTTTAAATATTTTGAACTTTGCACACTTGTCTTGTTACCCTTATAATCATGATTGTAAACTTTATTACTATAGTACCCCAAATCAGAGTGATAAGGCGATTCACTGAATACAACCCCATACCATTTTTAAAGGTGCAAAGATACATATCATAAAATGTTTTTGAACAGGACATAATATACAGAAAATATAATAAATTCAAAGATTTCCATGATGTGTCAAACATTACAAGATACAACAAATGTGTAAAAGAACAGCATAGAATAAAAAACAAATTAAACAAGAGCAAGTTTTTACAAGCTTTTTCAAAATGAGGCTTTGATTTTGCCATGGATTTTTTTCCTCAGTGTTGGAGTTAAAATAGTAAAAGCATGTTCCTCCACTGCTCAACTAACACATGACAAGCACAACTGAAGATGTAACTCAATTTCATTCTTACACAAATAGACAAAATTGTCACTGACTTAGCAAGACCAGGCCACAACCCCCCTGTTTGAGGAGCAGCAGTACATACAGGTAGCCTTTTTGTCCCTGTTGTCAAACATACATATATTGACAGTTTGCAATGTGTTCAGCCAATAGCCTTGGTGTCATGGGGTCACACTTTGGAGCTGTCCACAGCGGCCTCTTACGACATCTGTGATTGGCTGGAGACCACAGCAACCACAAGAAATACGTTTGGTGGTGTGAGCCAGAGCAGGAAGTACAACCTGCTGTTAACCCGGTCAGCCGAGCAGCACCGACAGCAGCATGCAGGGGAACACTCTGCAAAAATGATGAAGGTTTGAATACTTGACTGGCAACTTTTTAATTGATTTTATTTCCATGGTGTTAATTATTTGTGATTTAACATGTGAAAAGAGTATTTTCAGTATGGTTGTAGTTCTAAGAAGCTGTTGTTGTAAATCCCCAGGAGTCTCTGAAGCAATGCTGTGAGCAGACCATCTCTTCTCAGCTGAGGGGAGCGATGGAGACACAGCTAGAATCCAGCATGAAGAAGGAGGGCTTAAAGCTAAGTAAAGAGGAAGGAAAAAGCAGGCAGATGAGAGCCATTAAAGAAAAACAGGGCGATGTTGAAGATGAAAACAAGAGAGGAAATGCAACACAATACAATACCAACAGAACCTCCATCAGCAGGACAGGAGACATCCACAACTACAACAACACTCTTGGACCTTCAACAGGAAACACTGAAGCTTCTTCTCAGTCTGAGATCCAAAATACAAACCATGGCCTCACACCCAGCCCTTTTGTGGGATCAAATATGTCTAAGACTAGACTTAGAAGTGATTCGTTAGGACTCATGGCTCCTGAGTCTCAGAAAAGCAGTCTGACTCTACAGACAGCAGCACAACAGCCCAGTAACCGCAGAAACCCAAACCCCTCTGCTGGGTTCATTGTTCTCGCCAATGGTGTGAACAGTGGACATGACAACACTGCCAGGCCCGAAGCCCAGGCCGTTAGCTCCAAAAATGAAGGTTCAGCCAAACACAGAGACAAAAACACTCTTAAACACAGCCTCAAACAGAAGAAGATGGGAAGAGATGGCACGATGAAGGATAACGAAGCAATAGATGTTAACGAAAGAGAGTTGGAACATAAGCGCTCACACTCTCACCACAAGAGTGAAAAGATTGGCTTTGATTCGGTTTCAAAATCAGAGTCTCCGCCCCTGCAGCCCCAACACAATCAGAACCCACAGACAGTCAGTTATCTGCCCAACGACTGTGACAGCTGCAAAGCAGGGGAACACTGTGAGTGCAGCGAGGGGTCGGGGGCCGCTGCTGTGAACCTTGGGTTGCCCCGGACCCCGAGGACGGACGAGGCGGTGTGGGCCGCAGCGGCTCTGGGCTTCCTGCTGATCCTCCTGACCCTGTCGGTGCTCCACACACGGCTGTACCGCCACTGGAGGACCACGCCCAGCCTCTACTGGCGCGACCCACAGCGGGACTACGACAGTGTGGCAGGTACAACACAATGACCAAAATACACAAAGACCTCCTCTTAAAAATCCCAGTTTAATCATGTAAAAAATGTGCAACCCTTATTGTAGCGGCCAAAATCATATAGAAATGAAACAGATAATTAACTTAAAGTGGACCTATCATGCTATATTTGAATAATATAGTGTAGGACCATACCTATATAAGGCATATTTATACTTTTTATTTTTCAAAATACCAAACAGATCATGCATTTTAGCCAGTCCTCATTTCGCTCAATTTAACAATGTCTTTGCATGGGCTGATTCTGTGAGAGCAGCACCATCTACAGGCCTGGCATATGTACTACAGCGTCTCCAGCGCTTTAGAACGGCAATGTCCGTGGCTGTCTCCTCCTGATTGGTGGAGTTGGCCCAATAGCCGTAGCGCCACTTTTGTGACGTCATAGAAGTGTTCAAATCTGGATCAGTCTGTAACAGATCCGTTGCAGCCCCTTTTTAAGAGATTTGGGTATGGAGGAAAATAGAGAGGGTTGTGTTTTCTGACACTTGGTGAGTTCCCTGACACACCGGGGACACATATTCATGTAGAAAAGATGAACAAAAGTGCATTTTGCATGATAGGTCACCTTTAAAATAACACAGCCGCTGAGGCACTAGTTAGCGGATCTGACGCAGGGCAATGATCATCCAAGTCCAGACAAGAATCGCCGTTTGTGCATTTTATTCCAATAACAAAGTACAATGAACAGGTTTCCTATATCTCTTTTCCTTTAGCCTTTCNGTGGGGGAGGTAATTCACTTCAGAAACACTTTTTGTTATATTCCATGGAATGCTCTTAACACCCCGATAGCAATGAATATATTAAATGCTTTGACAATAAATACATCTGAGCCGGCCCGGTTAAAATAACTGGATAGCCTATCTGCCTGTCAGCCTTCCATCTGTGCACAAACGTATCTCGTGCCCTCATTGGTCATGTGCGCGTTCGTGTGTGTTGGGGGAGGGGCTCTGGAAGGAAGTCTGGAAGATTTTATTTTGACTGCGTAGTTTCAAATTCTAGCGCACTCGAGCTGGTTTCTCCATTCTTACCTACCCTACCTTTAAAGGACATTTACAAGAGGCTAATGAAAGCTCACACAACTCTATTCAGTCCTATGGTCCCAGATCAGTCATTTAACCCCTCAGGGAATCCCTACAGTATAAACATATACATTAAAGAGTCCAAAGAGAACGTTTTATAAATGTCTCTGATTATATTCTTCTACACATCACACATTGCATACGCCTTATTTTATTCACTCCAGTGTATCACATTCAATATAAAGTCTCCAGGCCTGTTGTTGTCAATGTTTTTCTACCCAATGATTGTTTTTGTTGTGCTACATTTTGTCTCAATGCTGTTTTTATAAATAGTTTTATAGTAATATGACATTTATTTTATTATTGGGATGTTTTACTGTGTGAATATGTAAATTGCTGTTCTAAGCAACACCGTACGCTGTATTTGTTATTAAACGGTACAATGATTTGAACAGCTGTATTTTTGACAGTTTTGGGCTAAATTTGAAGGATTTTCAAAGGCATTTTATTCCTTTACATACTTTACATGGACTCCTGTTTAAAACAGCTGTACTGGATGTCAGGATTTAAATGTTGGAATCGAACCAGTCCGATTTTTTAGGCTGATACCAATATCAATATTCTAGTCTTAAAAAGGTTAAATGAACATTTTTGATAACAATCTGTTAAATGTGTTGTTTTAAAAGACAAAAGTCATTGAATTGAAAAAGTAGAAAACTAAATATGGTTTCTAGACTCTAAATGCTATAGTGGGTAGTAGTGGTCATATACTATAATACCCTGTGAGGTTTTCATACATGTAATGAAACAATTCAAACTTTTCATTTCGGTATCGGGTAGTAAAAAGATGCAATTAAAGGTTTTGGATTGAAAAAAAACATTGTTTCAGTTTGTTTCTTATTTTAGTATACTCAATGCAACACAGCAAAGCCACATAAGTATTTTATGACCTCAGCATGGTGCAGTTTTTCTTTAATTGTTAAAAATGACAACAGCTAGTTAAATGTTTGCATTTGATTCTGAAAGGTTTAGGTTGGAATTGTCCTCAGATATTACAGAGATGTAAATACACACAGGTTAGCATCCAAACAGAGGAAAAACCTGCCGACAGAGCCAAGAAAATCCACTTAGTTTTACTATTTTATTACAAATGTACAGCTTATGAGTTTCCATTACGATTGACCTTTTTAAGTCTTTGTTTTCTCTACTTTATACAGTTGTGTACGTCATCTGTTAAAACATAACTCTCCCGTCACCCATCTCCCAAAGCGTAGAGTTGTAAAGAAAAACAGGGACATGAACAGTACACCCCATAGTGCACTGCCAATGCTTGAGTATGAGAAGTGTGTGTGTGTGTGGTGTGTGTGGTGTGTGTGTGTGCGTGTGTTCAACTCACTGTAGTTTTAATGTTAGTACTTTGTAGAAGGCTTGGTCCAACTGATAAGTTGAGGGTGTGTGTTTAATGACATGATGAAGGTGTATAGAAGCGTGTTGGGCTTGATCTGACGGAAGCCTTTAACATTCATACTAGAGGCACCCTACGTAGTGTGGACTATCTCCGGGTAGGACTAGGCCATGTGCGTTGAAGACCCTCCTCCCGACATTTTGAGATGACTGTAGTGCTAAGCCCAAGTGTGCTTCAGACCTTTCCTGTTTCCCATCCCCAATCAAACCCTGCATCCTGCACCTAATGTACTTGACCTAAGACCTTTGGGAGAGTGCAGTACATAGTGTACATCCTACTTCACCCAGGTGGAGTTTGAAAATAGTACGATATAATGAGATATTGTCTAAATTCAACTCTTCTCCCTGTAGATTCTAGTAGGATCATAATATGTACAATATATCTACATAAGGGGGTAATACCACAGCGTAACCATACTCACAATAATTAAAAATCTACCAGTATATCAGTGTGAGGACTGAAGGGCTGAGTGAAGATGTGGAGAACAGATCCCGTAGCCTGAAGCCCACTCGGGGAAACAAATCGACATAAATATCTCGCAGACATAACCCTAACATATAGCTTAATATAAAATATAGCATGAAAATATATGTTCATATATAAAGGCTCTAATCTAAAACTTGGGCAATCATGATTGAAGGGACGAGCGTTTTTGCTGACCCCCTTGCGTGCGTTTGTGTGGAAGTATTAGTGTCGTTTCAGCTGTCAGTAACTCAACAGGAGATGATGATAATGTCCCAAGGCATTCGATATCCAACGATGATACATTTCACGAGTCTTCTGGACATGATTTGCTTTGACAGGGAACAGAACAAACAAGCCATCCTCCCCTAAGGAGACGTGAGTGCAACTGTCTGAGAGGAACACTGACAGCCAAGTCATTAAAAGAGGGGGAGAAACATGGATACAGTGGACAGAGAAGTGCTGTAGGTTGTCTAGCATCAGTCTCTCAAAGTGTTAGGGGCTAATCAAGGTCTAATTGCTTCTTGCTAAATTGGTAGCAATACAAGAAAAAAACAATATGAGATGCAACTACTGTTTGAAGGATGAGGTCAATGTTGCAGGTAGGAACATGTAATGTGCAGAGGCCTCCTGAAGCCTGTTTATAGAATATACCAACACAAGAACAACTGACAGTTAAGGCCGCAAACACTTTGAGAAACCGGTGACAATGTAATTGGAGAAGGATGAATCCAAACGAGAAGAGGGCCTGCATCTTTTGTTACAGATGTGACCAGATGTGTTCGCACATTGCAACACGCTTCAGTCCGACAGTAGACTAAGTGCGCACACTTTTTGAAAAAAAACGAAACAAATGAAAAAAACATCTTTGTTCCCAATGCTGTGTCCCATTAGCAAAGTTCAGAGACATAAAAAGTGACAACTTCTGTGGCCCGGATCAGCAGGCCCCGACAGAGGATAACATGGAAAACTGAATGTAAGCTTGAATGGGCTTGCCAGGGCAGGAAAATGTAAATAAGCATAATGCAAGGCAAAGTACATCATGCGTATTTAAGGGGGTTAAATCCATTGCAAGTGAGCGTATATTCTCAAATGACTAATGAAATGTTAACTAGATATGGTGCTTTTCACAGGACTACTTAAAGCAACACACCAATATGTGGATGATCAACTGATGTGACTGATTTGCCATGCATGCAAGCAATGGCTGCTACAGGCACCCAGGAGCACACCCAATACTTATTATACTGCTTGGCACATCACAAGTGAATTTGGGATGAGATGATTCCACTGGCTCTGATAAATGAGGAGAATTAGAACACAAGTCATGCCCAAACTGAGGATACACGAGAAGAGAGTTTTGATCCAGGTCCTGACGTAATGCACCAAGGGGCTTTTGGTCTGACAGAAAATCCAAACCGAAAACAAATCTCCCCGAACTGTCTCCCAGAAAACGAGTGCTTGACAAATGTCGAGGACACAGGTTACTTCTTCGTGTGTAAGTGTGTGAGCATGTTTCCTTAAATCCCAGCTGAGCACATACTCACTCCCGCCCGCCCGCCTCCCTATCCCACTAAATGAGAATCATATTTGAGACAATAAAATACATAAACAGTTAAATCAAAATGACAGTCAGTAAAAATATCAATACAAAAAGAAACAATAGGCATAGATAATCAACAACAATAAGTCACAATTATTCCAGTGTAAGTGTTTTGTTTTTGTTTGTGTAAGTCAGTTATTGTTGTCCTTAGTGGTGCAGACCAAACCCATCTGCGTATTCAAAAAAAAATAAAGAAAAAGAAGAGAGAGGAAAGAAATGAAAACATGCCAGGTCATGCCGTGTACCACAGACAACAGGGGGCGAAGACAAACTGGAGCCCCCTGAAAATGTAACCCAGGAGGAAGCATCTGAGAGCCTGGGTGGGGGTAGGGTGGAGCTGGGTGGGTCCCAGGGGTCCCTTCACATCCTGTCTTGGATGAAGAAGGAGGCAGAGGGTGTGTCTGGTAGGAGAGTGAGGTAGAGGAAAGGTACGTCTCCGCAGGACGAAGAGGAGGGGATGGTGTGTAGAAGGTCGTGGTTGGTGGA